TATTGTTTTTGTGTAATTAGTAGATTTAGAGTGTATCTGAAACTCTCTCTTTACTAAGAAATAAAAAGATAACTGTTTACTTTTAATCATAATGTTTGCAAAAGTTCAGTAAAAAATGTTATTTTATTCAGAATCCCTGCTTCTATGCAGAAATAATTTGTGATTGAATTATTGCATGAACTTTGCGCCGCCAGTATTTTAAATTCGATATATTTTACATGTTGAAAATATAAATCATCATTATTATTAAATCTTCACGCCACGTGACTTTTAAATATCAAGAGCATCTGAAAAATTTACCAAGTCAGTTAAGATTATTTTGTGTAATAAAAAATACGATCTAAAAATTTTTTTTCATAGAAAAAATGAATCGATTATCATCAACATTACAAGCCTTTTCACCTTCAATATTATCAATTACAACACCAATAAATATTACCTCAATTATTAAATCAAAGCCCTTCAAACTAATATATTTCAAATTAAATTTTCAAACAAAAATCATAATAAATCAATTTTCCAAAGAACAATCGTTAATAATAAAAAATATCAATAAAATTATTTTTATTATTTGATAAAATGAAAATGAACATTTCATTCCTACCCAAAATATTTACAATAAAAAAACTTGTGTATATAGATTGTATGTATTGGTTCATTAAAAGAGTTACAAGAATTGTCAGGATGTGATGAATTGACAGATATCCATCGTGATAAAATTGATCATATTACAATTCCTTCAAAGAAAGGTAAAGGTGTTTTAAGAAGAACTGAGGAAGTATTTGACTGTTGGTTTGAATCTGGAAGGTTAGTTGTATATTATTATTATTTATTAATAATAAAACTATTTAATAAACCTTTTTGATTATGTTTAAATATTTATGTAGTATGCCTTATGCTCAATGTCATTATCCGTTTGAAAACAAGGAAAAATTTGAAGCATCTTTTCCTGCAGATTTTATTGCTGAAGGTCTTGATCAGACTCGTGGTTGGTTTTACACATTAATGGTTTTATCAACTCATTTATTTGATAAACCTGCATTCAAAAATTTGATAGTTAATGGATTGGTATTAGCAGCGTAAGATTATTTATTTATTTATAAATTAATAATTGCATTAATCTAAATACATAAATTTGCAAATATTTAGTGATGGTAAAAAGATGAGCAAACGTTTACAAAACTATCCAGAACCAACTGTTATTATTAACTCATATGGTGCAGATGCACTTAGGTAATTAATTTATACACTAAGTTTGATGACTATGATAATAATAATAACAATGATGAATTTTCATGCATCTTTATATATAAATGTGAAAGGTTATATCTCATCAATTCACCAGTTGTTCGAGCAGAACCTTTGAAATTTAAAGAAGATGGTATTAAAGAAGTTATATCCAAAGTATTTTTACCTTGGTATAATGCTTATAGATTTTTCACATCACAAGTAGTTTTATTGAAAAAAGTAATTAACATTTTATTACCAGTTAATAATTTTCATTATTTGATTTAGTGTATTTTATAAAGAAAAATTTTTTCTTTTTGAATTTACTTTTAGGATACAAATGGGGATTTTAAATATAATCCAAATTTAAAAAAATCAGTCAATGTTATGGATAGATGGATATTAGCAAGCTCACAAAGTCTTATTAAATATGTTCGTGAAGAGATGAAAGGTAAATCAAAAAAATATTTATTTATTTTGAAAAAATATTTAATTAAAAAATTTTTAATCTAAAGAATTTTTTATCAAGCATATCGATTGTATACAGTGGTACCAAAATTGTTAAATCTTATTGAACAATTAACCAACTGGTATGTCAGATTTAATCGTAAACTTCTAAAGGGTGAAATTAGCCCTGAAGATACTATTGATGCATTAAATACACTTTTTGAAGTTTTGTTCACATTATGTAAATCTATGGTATGTTAATTAATCCTTTATAATTATTTTGCTTTAATAATAATAGTATAATAATTAATATATGTATGTATGTGAAAATAGGCATCATTTACACCTTTCCTTACTGAATATATGTATCAAAATTTGAAGATATTCCTTCCTGAAACTGACTTGAATAATGATAATAGATCCATTCATTTCTTAACTTTTCCTGAGGTTAGAAATGAATATTTTGATTCAGAAATTGAACGAAGCATGTCTCGAATGCAAACAGTTATTGAATTGGGTAGAATCATTCGTGAGAAAAAGAATATAAGTCTAAAGGTTATTAATGTTATTATTTTTGACTTTTCTCCCAAAGAAAAATTCTTGAGGAAAATTTATGCTGATTATTGTTATTATTATTTTCTTTTATCTGATTAATTAGACACCATTAAAAGAACTTGTTGTTGTACACTCAAATACTCAATATCATTCAGATGTTTTATCACTTGAAAGTTATATTGTTGAGGTATTCATTAAAAAAAATTTTTTTTTAAAATTGGATAAAAAATAGTCATTAATAATAACATGATTCAATGTTTTGATTAAAAAATAAAATAATTAGGAATTGAATATAAAAAATCTTCTTGTAACATCCGAAGAAGATAAATATGGAATCAAATACAAGGTAGAAGCAGATTGGAAGGTTTTAGGTGCAAAACTTAGGAAAGATGTAGTGAAAGTCAAAAATGCATTGCCAAAAGTTACTTCAGAACAAGTAAAAGAATTTGCAAGAACCAAAGAGATTGTGGTAGATGGTATAAAATTGGTTGATGAAGATCTTCAAGTGATCAGATACTTTGAAGATTCTAATAGTCATTATGAAACAAATACTGACAAAGATGTACTTATTCTTCTTGATACTAAAGTATATCAAGATTTACAAGAGGAAGGATTGGCACGTGAAATTGTGAATCGTGTACAAAGGTTAAGAAAAAAGGTAATCAATTATCTTTTTATGATTATTCAAAAGAATTATTTTTACTAAAATTTTTAATATATATATAGGCTGGTTTACAACCCATTGATCCAGTGTTGATGTATTACAAATTCATAACTGATACTGATAATTTATTAGAAAATATTATCAAGAAAGAAACTGATTACATTAGAAAGATCTTAAAACGACCATTATTATCAATAACTGAAAAAGTAGATGATGCAAAAATTATTATTGAAGAAGAACAAGAGGTGGGTGATTTAATTACCAAGTACATACATACAAATATATGTTAATTAAATTCTTATAAATCTATATAGGTAAATAATTCCAAGTTTATACTATGTTTTGTTAAAGATTGGTGAATGAATAATTACAATGATGAGGTGAAAAAAAAATAAAAAAATATTTAATTTAATTTAATTAATTATAACAAGTATTTTTAAAAGTTGTGAGCTATGCATCAGTATGATGATGATGATGAAATATTTATTTAGAATTCTTTTTTTCAAAATCAATCATATATTCAACCAATATTTCTACACCTTGTAAAGGCATTGCATTGTAAATACTTGTTCTAATACCACCTACACTATGATGACCTTTCAATTGAACCATTCCCAATTGAACTACGCCATCCAGAAATTTTTTTTCCAATTCAGGTGGATCAATATGAAATGGTATATTCATTCTTGACCTAACTGATTTCTCAACAGGAGACTGATAAATTTTTGAATTTGTTATCATGTTGTAAAGTTTTGATGATTTGACAGCATTTTCTTTTTCAATGGAATCAATCCCACCATTTTCCAAATACATAATTTTCCACATAAATAGCAAAAACAAGATACCACAAATGCTCCTATTGTACCAACTATGCTTGATTATAAAACAATGCTATTGATTTGGGTTTAGTCACGAACTATCACAATAGTTACTCCCGCAGGGCCAATATTTTTTTGAGACCAGCATAAATTAACCCAAATTTTGAAACATCAATTTTATGAGATAGAATATTTGAAAACATGTCACATACTAATGGAACCTCGGAATCTACTTCAGGAACATGATGAATTCAACACCATTGACAGTCTCATTATCACAATAATAGACATAAGCAGCCTTTGAACCATTAAATTTCCAGCGTTCTTTTGATGGAATAGATCCATAAGATCCATTAAATTTTTTAGCATCAATCACTACATTAATATTATTATATAATCTTTTAGCCTCTTCAAAAGCTTTAGATGACCAAGAACCAGTTATTATGTAATCTAATGGTGAATTAAACACTTCTTTTTCTTCTTCATCAACACTTGTTTGTGACATATTTTGATTCTTAGCAGCCAATAAATTATAAACTAAGCAGAAAATTGTGTGTGGCCACCACCTTGCATAAACAATACTTTATAATTATTTAATATATTCAATAATTTGATTAAGTTATTTTTGCTGTATTTAATAAATCTTCAAATTCTTTTGATCTATAGGATATTTCCATAACTGACATTCCTGTATTATTATAATTTAATAATTCCAGTTGAACTTTTTCTAAAACTTCTTGTGGAATCATGGCAGGGCCTGCTCCAAATTCCATATTTTCTTAACATTTTGTTGGCTTTCTGACATTTTTTTTAATGTAATATAATATTTAACAATTATTATATGAAATTAGCCAATTAAAAGGAATTTTTCACCACATTTATATAAATTTTTTACATACAACAGTCTCAAAAAAAAAGATTTGTCTATGAATGAGTGAATCAATCAACATTTCTATGGGAGGAGCTCAGATAATTATATTTGCCCAAAAGTTAATCCATTTATTTATCACAGCAATTTTTTTCCCACTCCAGTTAAAAAAAATTTATAAATTTTTTTTTAGCATAAAATACAAGAAAAAATCTTTGATTTATTTAAAATATTAAAAATTTCTAATGTGATTGAAACTACATACAGTCAACCCCCACTAAATGCACTCCCTCTCTAAATGCATGCTTTCACTCATTCCCAAGCTCAGGACTTAAGAGATAAGTGCACCCCTTCATACCTGCACTGCATGTAAAACCACCCTCCCTAAATGCACACTCGTGACTTTCACGTGATTTTATGCATTGTTAATCGTGTAACCTAGAAAATTTTAAATTTGGCTTTGACTTAATTCCCAAAATCTCAATTTTTAATTGTGTCTCTTATATGTTTTTCATATAACTCAATAAATTGCATCAAAAAGTCACCTAATTGAGTCAATTGTAAGCATGTTAGCTGAAGTTGGCTCTATACATGCAGCCCAAAGTATTTTGACACTGTCATAAAGGGGGTTACACATGTAGTAAAGGGGTGTTACACTTATGTTTTTAATAGTGAATGCCATAATTAATTTCTACTTTCTACCATCAAAATTGGAATAATTTTGACCATCAAAATCACCAAACCAATTTGGGCTGCATGTATAGTTATACCATAGCAAGGATTAATCAACTGTGATTTAATTTTACAATAATTCATTGCCTATTAATATAAACCAATTAGTATATATAATACAGTATTGTTTATTTTGTTTTAATGGCAACTACCAACCTCATCAAAAAAGGCTTTTCCTGGATTACTTGAATCATTTAAACTTTTTAATATTACTCCCCACCTTGCTGAATAACTAAATTCCTTTTTATTTTCATCATAATCATTTATTTGTCCTCTTGTCCATGTAGCAGTAAAAATCGAACTAAATCCACCTTCTGTCAACTTTGTTATATCTTCAAATTGCTCAAAAGGTATCCATTCTAAAATATGGTTTGGCAGAGATGATTTCATTTGACATTGTTGAATAAAATCATCAATTATATTATTTCCAGATGTCCAAGTGGTGAAAAGACTCTGTAATTGTATGCTAATACAACCTTCACAGAATCTATCAGAGTATCTTACTGATTTACACTTGTTACATTCTTTTGGTTTGCCCAATTTATACATTGCACTATTTAATTCAAAATCATAAACAAAACTTTCTTTACAATATTCTTTTTCATTTTCAGAAAGCTCCTTGTTTTTTTTGACCAAAGAAAAAAAATAATCTTTTCTAATTTTTCTATCAGAATTAACTGCTGCAATAGTACACATTTCACTATAAATTTTATGTACAAAGTCTTGTCTTTCTAGTGATAACAATAATAATTGGTTAACATGTGACATTATATAAAAATATAAAATATAAAATTTGACTTGGTGTTTTAATGAATAGAGCAGAGATTTTTTTGAGAATAACTTTCTTTAACATAAAAGAGAGAGAGGTTTCCGTGTTATAGTTTCTTTCTAAATGTCGTGTTGTAGATTTTTATATTTTGTGTAATTTTTCATCAACAGTTTTACCCAAACTTGAAATGTTTGGTTGTACGGGAAACATTCTGCTGATAAAAAAGACTCGTTAAGATTTGAAACGGTAAATTCAGTAAATTCAGTGCAGTTGTAGTAACGAATCATGAATATTCTAATCATTTTGTTGTAAAACTGAATTTTTGGGGAAGGAAGAGACCAAAATCAAAGGGTAATGAGTCGTTTTTTTTCTTTTTTTGCTACACTGGCTTGAAATTGTTTTGTTAAAATTGAAATTTGGACAAAAGTATTTTCGTTTTCCGAAGACAATAAATGGTTGTAGTTATTTCACATCGCCGTATCATTGCAAATCTCCATTTCTTCTGTTTGGCAACCGAAAAAATTTTTATTTTGTTCAAAACGTCATGGTCGAGCAAAGCAGATACTTGACTGAAAGGGAATCGTGTTTTGCTTTAGATGTTCTTTCGCAGTATTTATAGTTGTCTATTGTCTTTCCCTGACATTTTGGACGTTCAAAATGACTAAAAACTTATGGCCTTGCATTGGTGTCTTTACCTTAGATCCCAGATCGTCAAAGACAACATGTTAGTGTTGGTATATTTTCGAGTCTGGAATTCAAAAACACCTCATTTTGTTGTTATTATTATTATCGGTAAATTTCAATTCAATGATCGATAAACAAACAATATGTACAAAAATTTTTTCGATTTTGACCATTTCAGAGATGGTGAATGATTCGGATAGGAAAAATTTTATTTTTAATTTCCTTTCGGAGAAAACAAATAAAATCCACTGATTAATCTTTGCAAAGGATTTTTTTTTTTTTTAATTGAGAAAAAAAAGCCTAGTTGATTTTTTTAACAATCGAAATTTGTAATAACTTTTGATGTTTGCATGAAGTTTATTCTTCTATAGCGATAGACTTGAAAAAAAAAAATAAATACAATTGATCCAATGGATTTTTAATCTGGGATAAATAAATAAACATGAGGAAAAGATCAGGACAAGGGAGGGGGTTTTTTTATATTAAGAAAAAAAAAAGCTTGATTATTTTTTTTAACAATTGAAATTTGTAAATAATTTTTAAATTCTTCTGTGCAAAGAATCTTTTATTAAATTTATTAAATTCGTGAAAAGTTTCCCTTTGTATGTGTAATTTTTTTAAATAAATAAATAAATTTTTTGCTCAACACAACGAATTAAATAAAAATATTATATAATATTATTATTACTGGCTAATGTTGATGCTCCGAACGAATATATAGATACCTCGCATTTGAATGTAACGTGCAAAGCCAAATCATACACATAATGCCATTTCGGCACTACGTGCTCGACCCTCGAATTTTAATGTAACGTAAAAAACAAACCAATGCACCGTTTTTGGGGTGGCGGGCCTATTTATATGATGGGTCTGATTCATTTCGTCGACAATCATTTCGTCGACAGTCATTTCGTCGACACCCATTTCGTCGAAGGTTTGTTTCGTCGAAAGTTTGTTTCATCGAAAGTTCATTTCGTCGAAAATTATTTCGTCACAAAAAAAAAAAAACTTCATTAAACAAATTTCTTCATAAACAAAAATTTGTTGACATTGAAACGCCAATTTTAGCCCAAAGTTCTCCCGAAGGGGCTCTTCACACTTCCCACACACTCCGCTTTCCTCACCTAATTTCATAACCAACTTCCCACACTCCTTACATCTAACTCGTTCGGTCTCTGGCTCGAGGATGAAATAATTTTCGACTAAATAAACGCGACCGACATTTTACATCTATTTATTATCTGGCAATAACCTAAACAGGAATTGATTTATATTTACTACTATATTTTCTAGAACTATACGCATAGTACTGATCTGCCCATCTCTATTTATGTGATTTTATAATATTATGACATCAGAATATCATCACGCTGTAATGCTAATCTGCATTTCACGAAACTCACCGTTTAAAAACTTGTTTATCATTATGGTTTAAATCTTCAGTCCAGCTGTAGAAAAAAAAACTATTCTTTCATTATCTTCAAAAATGTTTGTACAATATTATATAACCATTTGTTTCTAAATCATCAACTTCAAAATTTTTTAAATACATCAAGTCCAAGAATATGTGATTATTTCATGGAAACCTTTCAACACTCATCATGCCAAATATTTGATCGTTGCATTGTTTTTATTTTGTCATGAACAATTATCTGCATGAATCATTCTTTCTTCTTTGCTAAGACCACACTAAATATCAGCTCTTTTGCCAACAAATTATATTAATTTCACATATAATTTTTTGCCATATTTGCCCTTCTTAATAAATGATTGTTGCTGTATCTGTCAGTAATAATAAAACGAATAATTCGAATAAGAATTTGTACAAACAGAACTCTACATATTAACATTAATAATGATAACAAAAAAGTAATGTAATTTACAGTTGCATGATTCATTGTTTTTTAAGTTAATATCAATATAGATTCGAATTGAACGAAACAAATCAGAAATTTGGGTTCAGGGCCAATTAATTTTATTGTATAATGAAAATTTTATGCAAAAATTACTTTGTAAATAATTATGGAAGTTTTAATATAACCATCTTTTTCTTTGTTCTTATTGTAGTGATCAACAAAAATTTCATTAACTTCTGGTATTTGCTTGAAAAAGAATGACTTCGGGTCCTCACAGAGGAAAATTAACATTCCAAGACTCTGCAATAGGATCATCATTTTTTTAAAATAAACTTTTAATAATAAAAATTGTCCTTATCTTCTTTGTTTAAAACACTTGATAAAAGCAACAAGTGTAGTTAGTGCCATGGTAAAAGATAACAACTGTGGAGCTTTGGTAAAAAGCCACATTTATTTGCTTTAGTGGGCAATTAGGCAGGACTAATGTTGGTTAACTAGTAAGTGTTAACAACAATTAGTAATGTAATTTGCTTTAGTGAGTAAGTAAAGGTTTGGACTCAGATTCGTCTAGTGCAAGAAAGAATAAACTCATAAACTAATTAATTGAATTATTTGCAATTAACTGACAAGAGTAGCCTAAAAGTTAAGCCATAATTGTTAATCAACCAAAATGATACCTCACATTATCACCATTTAACAAGAATCAAAAAAACTGTAAAAAGTTTATTATTTCAAAACATTATTATAATTTAACTTTGAAAAACAAAATAAGGATAAAATATAAAGAAAGATAAATAAAAAAGATAATAATAAATTTATAGTGGGGATTAAATTAATTCTTTCATTTGACCAATTATCATTAGA